AGTTGGCTGCGAAGATCGTTAGAGTATGCAAATCTTAAGTTTGGGCCTGACTTACGAGTTGTCCTTCATTAGCGCGTTCCTGGCCTCTTTGGTTTGTCGTAGGTCAGATGACATCGAGATCCATGCTTCATCGTCTGGAAGGTTGGCGTCGTTGTACATGCTATCCAATTCCTCGTTGAAGGCCTATTGAGCGGACGTGCGATTCAGGTTCGAGTTTCGGGCGATTTTTGTAAGTCACACACCTCATACATGATTTCCTTCTCCGCCGTGGCATCGGTGAGCAAACTCTTAACCAGCTCACATTGCCGCCGGGCGTTTTGAAGTTCAAGTCGCGTTTTTTCCAGCTCCGCCGACCTCTGCCAAACGAGTTAGCGTAAAACAATATAGATGATAGATGCTTTACGTCTTTGAAATCCGCGGTCAACTGTTTGATACCGTTTTCAAGAGCTTCTTGGCTCGACATTGCCCGCGCTAAGCCAGGTCGGCTTCAGACACCAATGAGCCCAAGGAGCGGAGACCGTCGGTTCGGCCAGACCCGGGGCCTTGTATAGGAGTGACTACTGCCATGCTGAGAGGGCGAGTACGAGGAGTACCTTCCCCTTGTCGCTGTCCTATGAGCTGGCGCATCTCTTCCATTCGGTCGAGAGCCGTTTGAGTCTAGAATGATTCTAATCAGTCAAATCGGACGACTGAAAAGCAAAGGGCTACCATTGCAGGCGTCGCACGCTGAGGAGTCCGTGCTCCTTTACTGGGTGAGGCAGGCCGGGCCACTTCGTCGGGACTGTAGTCCGTGGACCAGAGACCGTCAATTTCGAGCTTCATTCGTTTGATAGCCCGGTGAGACGACTCAACCTGGAGCTCGTTAGAAGCAAGCATTTCTAGAACTCAAGCACTCACATCCTCCTTTGTTGTTTGTGACAACTGCACCAACCTCTGCGGTGGCTCGTTTTTGGAAGGACTTCGCATAGAGGTGGCCCTGACGCTGCGCACTTGCGGGGAAGCTTTGCGGACTTGAGGGGAAACTCTGCGTGGCGACCCGACCGTTCTTGCGCGTGACAATGAAGAGTTTTTAGACTGGGGTTTCCGGGATGACTCTGTCGTCGCCGGCGTTTCTGTGGCTCGGACTGAAGTTTTCTTCCTGATAGACAACGGTTCAACACCGGAAGTGGGAACGTTGTTCACTGCCGGTTTTGGGGTCGCATCTATATTGCCAGCAGGGAAGAAGGGCTGACGTTTGCTCCGCGGAATGCCTGTAGCTCGACTTGGCCCCGATCGTTGGAGTCTTGCGGCATTTTCTAGAACAAGGTCCTCATCCATGGATGGAAGGTCGACAGTGGAAGACTCCATGAGTGGACTCTTCGTAGGTGGAAGCGGGGAAGGACTCCTGGGTCCCATGGGACGCCGTTCAAAAGAGTGCTGTGACAGGGACCGAGAGTGACGTGGGGGGGATTCTATCGGAGGATTAGAATTAGAGTCAGGCTGCGGTGTCGTAGAGCGATGGCCGTTCGTGTCCCTGGAAGCGCGAGAAAGCGGCCGCCGAATGGGATCATCTGGACCGAATGAGAGACGAGTTGGGGCATAATACGGTTCATACCTTCGTATATCGTCGCCTCTGATGGATTTTGCAGTGGAGCATGAGTGAGGTGCTTCCCGTGCTGATTTTTGCTATTCTGCCTCGCCAACGCCAATTGTACCGCTAGGTCACGTTCAGTTGAATCCATATCTCGGACATGGTCCAAAATGGTGCCATCGTCGTCTTCAATGTCACTGTAGTCGAGATCCCGCTCCCGCGAAGTTGAACGAGATCCACTTCGGGACACTGATCTCGACAAGCTACGGCTCTGACTCCTGTTCTCTGGTTCTGGAGTTCCACCAGGTGACCTGCTCTTCCTGAGAACATTTCTCGACCTTGAGGATGACCTAGTGCGAAACGATGAGTCGTCATCCACGGACATCGTCGTGGCCGCAGTTGCAGTCGAGTTTGAGCGATGAGAGAACTTGGCCAGGCTGCCGTCCCCAGTTGCCGTAGTTTGAGTGTACATGGATGAGCGACTGGCCGTAGATTTGATGCGTCTGTGGCTGCTGACAGACCCACCGAAGAAGTCACCCATGGACGACCCTGGACGCGCGTTGAAGAGATTCCTCGAGAGAGCATCCAATCCGAAGATAGCCGCCTTGGAACGAGCTGTGGGTGTTGACGGCGCAGAGTTCCTTCCGGTTCGAAACTCAAAGAGACCGAATTGGTGAACTGTAAGCAATGAAGATCAAGGTCCCGCCAAAAGTGCAAAACACCAGCAACATACTAGTAAGCACGATCCGTGATGGCACCCGGGTAGTCTGCACAATGTCCTCTTCGCCCGGGTCAGATGGATCGCTTGAAGAGACCTTGTAACGACAGACGCCGCCTGCCAGAGGCTGCAACCGGATGACGCCGAAGGGTGGCGCACCCACACCAAAAGGTATTTTATCAGCTGAGCCCAAAGGATCGATATGAACCACGATTTTCGTCTAGAAAGCTCCTTGAGTCATCTTGCACCAGTACAGAATAGTAACTCTGACCTTCTTCTGCTCCTGGAGAAAAGCCGTTCGTTGGTAAACATTGTAGTATGTGCGAGCGATGGTGACCCGGCCACTCTTGGATTCAACTTCCATCTCCTCCGCGCGAAGCACGACTGACTGGCCCGCCCGGGCCCTGTAAGTAGCCTGAACCCTCCAAAGATTCTCCAGGAATCTCTGCTTGTCGGATTCCGTCTGTACAGGATTTAGGCTAATGGGTGCAGGAGGCTGGACTACAGCCAAGGATCGGAAGGCTCGGCCAGACCATCGCTCGTTCTGGTCGAGAGGAGGATTCTCCAGGTACAAGTTGATGTCTGCGAGCCAGGTCAACTTCAGGCATCAATCAGACCATGATGAAATTCACCTGCACCACCCACATCGGTAGCAACAACCTCTGTGACATCGACCACTCCTTTGCATGTCATCCCGCTCTTCTTCTTGCCACTCGGCCGTCCTCTTCCTTTTGTCAATTTATCGAGATCGTCGAGACCTGCAAGTGTCCGGCCGCTTTTCTCCCCATTTCCAGGTCGCTTGACGATGAGTAGCTTGTCGTCAAAAAGAAAAAGGGTGCAGTGCAGTGAGCCGACTGAGGAGCTATTTACTGATGCAGACGACGAAACTGGTGCGTCCGACACGATGTCTTCAACGTCGATACAATCTATGAAGCGCCGCGAGTTAGAAAAGAGATCGGGGGGAAAGCCATCTATAGCTGCACTGAGGCAATAAAATACGGCAGCTCTCTTGGTTTCTTCATCCGGTTCAGCCAGCGCTATCTTACTAGCAAGGTCGTCCGCCTCAATCAATTTAGCACGCTGCGGATCGCCAGGAGCCATGTGCTTGATCATCGTCCGAAACAGAAGAGTGTACTGAGGTATTCGTTGCACCGGGTTTATGAGAAGTTCGCGAAGTCCAACGCGGTTTCTGGAATCCGAAGTTTGGTATTGAATCCGCTAAGAAAGCAAATGTGAAGCGTCGAAAAAAAGAATGTAATCTAGAACGCACGTCGATATAGGCAGCAAATGGCGACGACCTTCTCGATATCTCCCGTTCAAAAATCAACTGCGCCTCCTCACGCTTGACATAGTACTGCTTGTACTGCTCAAAGCCCCGCAGTTCTTTGAAGTGACGGATTGCGACATCCCCCACGCCGCCGACCACCTTCGCGCCATTCGGAGCTAGCATCTTCTCCAAATCCGTCAAGAACGCTTCGTTCACAGGAAGGAGATTGTCCACGTTCCCAAAGAGTGTCTTGGCCTCATACGCAGGAATAATAGATGTGTTTTTGCTTCGCGCAAAGTTGCGTAAGGGGTCTGCATAATCGTTCTTCAACGATTGAAGTCGCTTCACATACGACCGTTCGGTTGTCACTAACTCATTGATGAAAGTGGCGAGCGCTGAGGAATCTGTGAGAGCGCGTTTTCTCTGGCCAGCGTGATCCTGAGGGTGAGTCAGCTTCTAGACCGAAGAATTAATCGTTGGATGCAACAGGCGATTTGATTCGCGGAGTATGCAATCGTGCCATGGCACTTCAGACTTGTGGCAGATGTAGATCTAGTACCACAGCAAGCTCTCGACGCAGTGTCGCTATGAGAGTGAGATACGCGACTTACGGGATCATATAAACAAGAATCCTGAGGAGGGGACAGAATGCTGCCAGTGGCGTCCGAATTGGAGACTACAGTGTCTCCCAGGGACAGAACAAGTTCCTGGATATCTGATGCCGGGACAGCATTGGAATACGTAGGACCAGAAAATTCTGGAATTCGCACCTTCAGGAAGTCTTCTGCCATTCTCAGAGCCTTCTACTACGACTCCACAGAAGAAAACGCGTTTCGTGAGGCTCGGAGCTGACGACTCGCAGCGAGACCGGGACTCTTCGCCGGTTGAGAGGGGGATGACTTTTCGCGGGGATGAGCTGAGATTCATAAGGGCCACAGGGGTGGAGAGTTAGTAGGAGTACGACAAGGGATATAACCCTTTCGAATAGAGTTCAACAATGTCGCGGTCACGTGCTCGATTCGTCCAGTCGAAAGTTCTGTTAGCAACTTGGTGTGATTACAAGATTCCGATGACAAATGTGATCCTTTGGCAGTTTTTCCAAACCCTAGTGTTCCGCCAGTCAATGGAACAGCCGATTGATGGGGCTGATTTCTCATTTTTTTACTTGACATTTGTAAATTCTGAGGAGACCAATAATTTCCAGGCCCATCGGCCAAAAACTGGTAGAAGCTCTGGTAGGGAACATCGACTGTTCCATTGACTCGTAGACCAAAAACACGCCAAAATACGGATTTCCTTCTCTCCCTTTCCTCAGTAGTTACACCCTCTGAGATTTTGTAACTACATTTTTTATGAACTTTGTTTAACTTGGGGGAGGCAAAAACTGGGTGTTCCATTGACCGGTGGAACAATCTATTATCGATATCATGATCACATTTAGTGAAGTCCCTGTCGCTTAGTGGTTAAAGCAGCTCGTTGTGGCTTAGCTACGTAATTGTACCGAGCAGCCGGGTGTTCGATCCACCCCAGAGACATATATTTTGGGTTAATGTTGTCTGTTTTGTCCGCCGCCACTAAATGCACGCCTTCCCTTGCCCATCTGCCAATTCGTAGTCGACGTCTCAGAATGATAAGATCATGATGGATCCCAATAAATCCTGACATGTCTGACATCCTTGTACTACGCCCATGTTGGTAATAACGTCCTAACTTATCTGCAGCAACGTAGAGCCGAAAACGCTGAGCAATAATATTGTTCTCCAATACGCCACGCGCAGACCTGGTGGCCCAAGAAGCAACCAACGCTCAGCGTTAATTGGCCGGCATAAATGAGGCGACGAAATCTACTTTGTGATCAAGACTCGATGAGCATTGATGTGAGTCAGCATTATAGTACAGATATTCAGTCGTCTGGAGGATCCGAGAGAGCACTACTCGTGTCGCTGGCTTCGCCTTCTTCAAGCTCTTCGTCCCTCTTCTTTTTTCCCTTGTTTTTGGGCTCCTCCACCTCTCCCATCTCAATGTCATCCTCCACCGCTTCTCCAGCGGGCAGCACGGCCTCGGGCGCAGTCTCTTCCTCCCCTTCTTCCACCTCCATCTTCGCCGTCCCATTCTCAGCCGTCGCCGGAGTGGCGTCGCCCGCATTTTCTAGCCCAGGCGTCTGCCTCGGAGACGGGACGCTCGAGGTCGCGGTCTCCCTGTCCTTGCCCATGAACCGCAGCGAGCCAAGGTCCGCGATAATGGCATCCAGAGCCGCCTTCTGGCCCTGGATGGTGTGGTTTTGTGTGTCGTGCTCTGCGTGGATGGCAGCCATGTCGTTTTCGAGCGCTTCGATACTTCTATGGACACCAGCATAAGTCTCCATTAGCTCGTTATTGATAGAGAAATATATACTGCTCTAATTCTGCGCGACTGGGGAGCGTGTTGACTTTCTCCGCGACAAAGTCGTACTCCATTTTTCTACGGCGAAGCATCTGTTCATGCTCCAGGCTCGTCTTGAGCTGCTCGATCTGGCCGCGTAGCGTCCCATGCTCGTCATCTGCACGCGATGAGATAACACGAGCGGTAAAGTTTTAAACCGACGCACGCACTGATTCGCTCCTTCTCCCGCTGGTACTCCTCCACCTGGCGCGCCTCCGCCTCGCATATCATGACGCTCTTCCTTAGCATCAGGTGAAATGACGCGAGTTCGACGAGGAACGCCTCCCGCACGTCGTTGACGGACGCGGTGGTGGGAGCTGGGACCGCGGCGACGACCGGCGTGTGCGACAGCGCGGTGTAGCTGTGGAACTTCTTGATCACGCGGCGGAGGGGCCGGTCCTCGTTTGCGATGCGGGTGAGGATGATCTGGTCTGTGCAGTATTAGCGCCGCACGTCTGTGAGGACCGTGGATGAACATGAACCTTCTTCTTCGGGGGTCAGCGACGGCACCACGATGGGTTGCTGCGCGTCTTGCGAGGCCATCGAGGGCGGGGGTGGCGGGGCACAGGAGCAGACTTGAAGATGGACGGCGTAAGGCGGTTTAAGGCTTGCAATAGGAACTTGAGTGACAGTTGCCCAGTTAGGAAACTCTTCAATTTTGCCTATCTCCGACTAGCAAGATATACAGTAAGTAAGTCGGGTACATATAGACTTCTACTTTAGTTAACGATACATTATCATGGACCATACTCGTCCAGTACGAACGGTGTAACGAGCTCGTACGTATCCTCGTTCCCGCCCTTCCCCTTCTTCGACTTGTCCTTTCGCCCACCGCGCCTAATCACCTTCTTGAACAGAACCCCCATCCGACTCCGCTCGCTTTCTGCGTCAGCGCCCTCAACACTGGCCGGATAACAAGTCTCGACCATCTTGGCGAGTTTCCGCATCCCACTCGACGAGTCGTTCGTGTACCGCCGGGATTCCTCCAGCGCGGCTTGGAGGTACATCGCCATGTTTGGGAAGGAGATCGGTAACGCGGGGAAGGGCACGGAGTCGCTAGAAGGGATGGTGTACGTCTTGGACATCATCGTGTCCGCGCCATCACGGAGTAGCGCCGGGAGACTGGACAGTGTATACGACCAGGGGAGCATGTCGACGTCGCCGTTTGTGTATTTCCGCGCCCCGGGCATGGAAGTTGGAACGGGATGGTCGATAGTGAACCACAATACAGTGCGCCAATCTGATGAAGCGTGGTGCGGCTACCACACCGTTAGTCGGTTAGAAGGGGGAACATCGATACAAAACATACCCGAACGAATTGAACCACAGTTCGGAGATGCATCTGTGCAGACCTCGTCACTGCCATTGCTTCCACCGTCGGCTCGATTCTAGTTCCACTTAAACGAGCCATCAGCTTCAAAAGGTGCCGCCAATTGGGCGCCTGCAAATGAAGCGGTGGACATCGCCCGTACGGCAGCGATATTATGTTCGGCATTTGGGCCTGCATGGGTACCAGTTCCGGTAGTAGAGGTGGAGATACGAAGCCGATAGCTGAGAAAACAATTGGTAAACCAAAAGCAACAGGCAAAGAGGGAATGAAACATACAAACACCCCGCAGAATATCAGCGTCGATAAACTGGTTCGCACTGACAGGCGCGTGCCCGTCCCCGTCTTCGCTACGAAGGGAGACTGAGGATAAAGGCCGAATGCTCTCAGGTGGGTAGAGCAGTCCTGAAGGCGAGCGGAAATTGGTGGCATCGACGCTGGCCGGGCGAGGAGAGTCCAAGGCATTTTCCGGCGCGGCCCAGGACATCGCCAGCTTGTTCCTTGGTGATTCTGCTGGCGACTCTGCGATCTCGACTGGGGAGATCGATCGGGCAGTACCTGAGTATGAGGGAAGGTCTGGAGGCTCCTGAGGTGGTTTGTCCTTGGACTCCCGCGCCAAGACCTCCTCTTCAACAACCAACTGACGGGCGAGCTCTTCATCGGCCGCCAGAGCGACGGGTGCTCGTCGGGGGGAATATACGGGGAGATCAGTTGTCTCGGGCGCTGGACTTGTTTGGGAGACATCTACGTCGACGTCGTCAGTCGTGCCAACGCGTTTGGCACTCTGTGCGAATGTTGCTTTGTTTTCCGAGAACGTGGACGCGGTCGGAGTCTCCCCAGCATCCTCCTGGGAAGCCAGCATCCGAGCAAACGCCTCGTCGTCCATGTAGTTGATTTCAGCAGAGGGAGAGGAAGGCGTCTGTGTTGACGGCCCTGCGGCCGTAGTGTACGCCTGCGAATCACCGTAGGCAGTTGAGTACGAATTAGACCACGAAGATGCGGCCATGGACGCCTCCAGCGCGCGCGCAAGGTCCGCCTCTTCCTGACTCTGCATCTTCTCACGCAACTTCTCCTGCCGGAGCTTTTCTGCCTGGGACAGGGCGAGGACTGCGGCGAGCTCGGCGAGCTCGGCATCGTCCTCCTGTGGCAGAGGCGTCGGGTCCTCCACGCGCTCGTCCACGGGTGGCGCGGGCGGTATGTGCGATATGCTGGCCGGCCGGGGCCGGGGCGGGGGCTTCGGGGCGGAGTCGACGGGGACTTTTGGCGGTACGGGCGGGATGTGCGGCTCGGTCGCATAGCTGTATGGGTGCGGGGGGACGGGCGGGGGCGCGGTGCGGACGCGTCTTAAATTAGGTGCGATGTAGTCTTGCGGGTATGGGAGACGGGGGGGTATACGAGAGTCGGGCAGCGGTGGGGATATCGGGGATGGGGCGCGGGAGGCGGGGGGGAGGGGCGGCTGCATGAAGAACACGTCGGGGTTGTGGATGGAGGGGGGTACGGACGCGGCTGCGATGGGATGGGCGACGGTGAGGGGGGCTGGGTGGGTGGCATTCGGCGCGGTGGAGGAGCGCAGACGCGGGCGCTGGGCCTGGTCTGGCGGGGTCCACGACGCTGCGGGGGCTTGTGAGTAGAACTGCATGGGCGGAGGGAGAAAACAGACAGGGCCACGGATTTGTGAGACTCTCCATGAACTGGTGGCCAGTACTGGTGGTCCCTGAGTGAGTACTGAGCGCTGATCGTCGTCGTGCTAGAAACGAGGCGGGCGCTTAGGGTCGGGCGCTTAGTGTCACTCTCAGGCGACGGCAAATAATAATTACTTGCAATATATCTAGTGTACAATCCAAACAGAAATGGCGGGAAATACTGTGTATGCGACGGTCAATGGTGTGCGTATGTGTTTCAGAGCGGGGGACATGCGTGCAATGCGAAACAGGTCATAACGAGCGTCAGGGAAAAGAGAAAAGATAGATCATCACAAGGTCATGATAGGTTTTGCGAGGCGGTGACTTTCGTGCTCCCAGCACCTTGCATCGTCGACGTTTTGAACCCCAGTCGCCGCATGACAACTGCACGGCCGTCAGCGTCTGCGCGCCAATCTCAACGCAGGAACGCACCTAGCAGATCAGCCTTTTGCAGCGGCTTGGACAGCGACGCGGTGAACAGGCTGCCGCCCTCGTTCGCGTCCACCCCGCTGTACGCGCTCACAGCGACGATCGGCGTGTTGGTGTTCTTGTTATTCGTGCTTTTGATGTATCGCGCGGCCCCTTCGCCGTCAACTGCAAACATAATCAGCACGACGCACAACAAAACATGGTCCACGACCACTCACGGACGGGCATGTGTAGGTCCATCAAGATGCAGTCGAATTCTACCCGACAGCGAGATCAACATGAGGCAGAAGATCCCAACTAACTGCACTCACTTATGTCGCCCATCGCTACACTGATGGCCTCTGATCCATCCGCCACCACGACGCACCGGCACCCAAGCCGTATCAGCAACGTCTCAATGATTTTGGCTGTAATGGGATTGTCCTCGGCCAGTAGACACGTCACCGCGCGGTCGCTGGGGTCGGGCCCCCTCTTCAGATCAATCGAGTGCACCGACGACGACGGTGTGTCGTGGTGCCCCGAGCCATGGCCGACCGACGAATGCCACGCTTCCGAGCCCGACCCGTCGCCAGCACTAGAAATCGAAGCAGTCCGCAACCGGCTGGGCATCGAGTTTCGGCGATCAAGTCCTTCCAGGTGATTGAGTTTGAACCGCTCCACTGCACCGTACTCTGAT